CCCCCCCCCCCCCGCCCCAGAATAAAGAGAGAAATATAAAGCATGTGGTAAACAATGGGTAGGGCTGGACAAAAAGTAACTAAACATTCCATTTTCTCATCGTTCTGTGCGCACCAGCTTTATGCCCAGCTTACTGTATTTTGCGAAACGAAACGAAACAAAACGAGTAAACCCGTACTGTATTTTGCAAAACGAGCTCTTCGAAGACTCTAACGATATGTAACTTATTTCTTCCGATTCTTTAACACTTTTTGTAGATACAACTCAGTGCAGTGATGATTTACAAATTACAGATTTGTAAATCTGTAATTTGAAAAATGGGACACTTCTGACCTTTTGGCTTGAACTCTTTGTTCAAAAATCATCACTGTAAAGAGTTGTATCTACGAAAAGTATTAAAGAATCGGAAGAAATAAGTAACATATCATTAGAGTCTTTGAAGAGCTCATTTCGCAAATTACAGATTTACAAATGTGTAATTTGCAAAACGGGGCAATTCTGATATTTTGGCTCAGACTCTTTGTTCAAAAATCATCACTGCGTGAAGTTGTATCTACGAAAAGTGTTAAAGAATTGGAATAAATAAGTTACATATCGTTAGAGTCTTTAAAGAGCTCGTTTCGCAAAATACAGTATGGGTTTACTTGTTTTGTTTCGTTTCGTTTGGCAAAATACAGTAAGCCTTATGCTCTGACTTCCCTGTCAATCTCTCTGTTATGGATTCCCCTTGTTAGCCTCTAAGAGAATGAATGATCATTTTTGATATTCACCAACGAATTTTAGTGCATATCAAGAGAACAGGTCATGGGAATTAAGGAAGTGACCACCATGTAGAAAATACTCTCACTATTTTACTCACCCTGTTCCCTGGCACTAGAATTTTCAACTCCTTTCTCATGGGCTCAGGGCACTGTCAATGGTTGTGCACATTAACTCTGTTAACTTACTTCTTTATCTACAGATTAGAAAAACTGCAAAGTCTTGAAACAGCTGGCATTTTAGATACAAAGTGGTAAGCTTTATTTACTAAACTGTGATCCTTTTGTATCGACAAAACATGTCTGTTTTAACACATGCAAAAAGCAATATGTTTCTCAGTTATGGTGAAAGCAAAAGTTTTTCATTTGGTCACTGAATGACAACATTTCATTACAAATGTGGATGGCAGCATTTTCATCAACAGCTGGGCAATGGCTGGCATGCCCTTAGTTTATTTGTTCTTATTCCAAGATCAGGTCCTTGTAATATATATTCCTGTTCATGAATAATGGCAACAAATCTTTACAGGTTGTCAAAGTCTTTGAATGGGCATGCTGTACTTGGTGCTATTACTTCAGCTGGAGAATTGAAGATCTTTTTCCTTGAAGAAAAGGCATGTCAAATAAAATTGTAGTTCAGATTGATTTAAGAAACTGTTGTCAGTCATGATTATGGCAATGATAATGATTTACAGAAGGGCTATGTTTCTGGCAGTGCTGATGACTGTGAATCCCATTATGTTTTCCTCTTCCTTTTCATCTTCCCTTTCATTACAAAATATGTATAATTCCTCCCTACCACCATCCAAAAGACTGGAATAGTGTTGTGGTAAAGTTATTAAGCTTACTTATTATTATAATATAATTTTTTATTTGATATTTATAGCAATTAACTGAAAGTGCAAGCTACTCTGCAAGTCCAGAAAAACTATGTCTTTCAATGGACTGGTCATCAAAAGATGGAAACAGGTACAACTTGTTTAAGTCATGCCTTGGTAGTGTTAAGGATGGACAACACTATCCGTTTGATAAATCACCATCCATTGCATAGCATGGCTTGTTTTCTATTGCCAACAGAAGTTTACTGGAAGAGCAATTATTTTATCAGGTAGATAGTGTTATTTAGCCTTTGAACAGCTTGCTTAATCTAGAACGCAGACCTGACTCTGTTTGATGCTTAAAAGCTTGGTTATGAGAGATCTAGATTGGAGATTTTAGCTTGCCTTGCACATCATTTTGTCTTTTGCAGTAACTAAAGTTGATTTTGAGGGAGGTAAACTCTGTGATTGCCAGTACTGATTAACTTGTACTTTCCCCTTGCGATATCAGTCAACTGTCAAGCAAACAGGGTGTCATTCTGACAGTTGTTGCATGCTCAGTTTATCCATTTGGACATTAAAGGTGAAACACTACTGATTCCATATAGCATTACCATGCCAGTCCATTATAAGGAGAAGACATATTTTGAACTTGAGAAAGAAGGGCTAATTTTTAATTAGAGATATTTGTTCTCTTCCTGTTGTAGCTTAATTGCAGTGAGTGACTCAGCTGGTCAGATAGGCCTTTGTAAATTTAATGAAGGTACTTCCAGGCTTTGCCAAATTTCACAGTGGACAGGGCATCAGTATGAGGCTTGGATTGTGGCATTTGATGCTTGGAATTCTTCCACTGTATACTCAGGTTAGAAGCTAACTTCAAAGGATTACTATTCTACTAATTGAAATTTAAAAAAAATGAATTGAAATTAGAATAATGTAATTTGGCCAACATGTCTGAAACATTTTGGCTGAATGATTAGTACACTTCATTCCAAAAACAAATAATTCCAAATCAAAAACTGGGCACTTGCATCTAAGTTCTACATGGTTTCTGAACATGCGTAAAGAGGGAAACCACTGTCAGTGATAAAAATGCTGGTTCACCTTCTGATTGTGCCCTGAGGTGAAAATTTTGGTGCACTCCAAAACTATTGTGAGTGTCACTATGGGAGTATGTTGAGGGACCCAACGGTACTAGCAGTCAAGTGGTTTATTTGTCAGGTTGGCTTCTTTCCCATATCTCAATATGGTAACATAACTTATTTTATGTTTACTGGCCACACTAGGTGGAGATGATTGCCTATTTAGAGGATGGGACACCAGAACAGACTGTCAGAAACCCACATTCACAAGTAAAAGGTTTGTTCCAAGATGTTCTGTGTATCAGATACATGTAATAATAATAATTTATTGCTGATAATTGTAAGTGATTAGCAGGTTAATTTATAACCATTTATTGATACCTATCCTAGATGTACTATTTAAGTCTAAATTACTATTTGTTAATTAATGAATGGATTAATTAAAACTAATGATCAGTTTGTCCAGTCACCCTCATAAGCTAATGTAAACTAGTGCATGTAAGCTAATCTCATTCTCAGAGATCTGGGAACAAGATTACATGTAAGCATGCATTGTGTTTTTTAAAAGCAACATACATGGACACAATGAGATGTTGATAATGGACCTTTTCCGCAATTGGCGGCCATTTTGAAATTCTATTGTTTCAAATAGCTATTATGGGATGCTTAGGGTACAAATACATACTACATACATACTAATACTAATATTATTTACCTGCTGAGCATCCCATAATAGCTATTTAAAACAGTGGAATTCAAAATGGCCACCATATCGCCAAAAATGTTCATTAGTTCTTTTTGTTAGAAAATTTCCTAAGGCACCTACATATGTTGCTTATGCTTAGATGCTTATGCTCTAGTGAAGATCAGTCTTATGACCGTCACATTAGGGTTCTCTTTGATGTTACATTCCAGGCATGACATGGGTGTGAGCAGTATTCAGTGTAATCTCTCTTATGAGCACATTATGGCAACTGGCAGGTGAGAAGGTTAGTTTGGACAAGTAGCAGG